GGCTCCACCAGCCCCCACTAGGCGCTTACCAAGTCCCACCAGGCGCTCCACCAGCCCCCACCAGGCGCTTACCAAGTCCCACCAGGCGCTCCCCCAGCCCCCACCACGCGCTTACCAAGTCCCACCAGGCGCTCCACCAGCCCCCACTAGGCGCTTACCAAGTCCCACCAGGCGCTCCACCAGCCCCCACCACGCGCTCAACCACCCACCAGGGTCCCCACCAGGCGCTCCCCCAGCCCCCACCAGGCGCTTACCAAGTCCCCACCAGGCGCTCCACCAGCCCCCACCACGCGCTTACCAGTCCCACCAGGCGCTCCACCAGCCCCCACTAGGCGCTCCCCAAGTCCCCACCAGGCGCTCCACCAGCCCCCACTAGGCGCTTACCAAGTCCCACCAGGCGCTCCACCAGCCCCCACTAGGCGCTTACCAAGTCCCACCAGGCGCTCCACCAGCCCCCACTAGGCGCTTACCAAGTCCACACCAGGCGCTCCACCAGCCCCCACTAGGCGCTTACCAAGTCCCACCAGGCGCTCCACCAGCCCCCACCAGGCGCTTACCAAGTCCCCACCAGGCGCTCCACCAGCCCCCACCAGGCGCTTACCAGCCCCCCCCAGGCACTCCACCATCCCCCACCAGGCGCTCCCCCATCACCCACGAGGCGCTCCCCCACTGCCAAGGCGCTCCACCAGCCCCCACTAGGCGCTTACCAAGTCCCCACCAGGCGCTCCACCAGCCCCCACCAGGCGCTTACCAAGCCCCAACAGGCGCTCCACCAGCCCCCACCAGGCGCTCACCCTAAGTCCCCACCAGGCGCTCCACCAGCCCCCACCAGGCGCTTACCAAGTCCCCACCAGGCGCTCCACCAGCCCCCACTAGGCGCTTAACCAAGTCCCCAACAGGCGCTCCACCAGCCCCCACCAGGCGCTTACCAAGTCCCCACCAGGCGCTCCACCAGCCCCCACCAGGCGCAAACCCTAAGTCCCCAACAGGCGCTCCACCAGCCCCCACTAGGCGCTTACCAAGTCCCACCAGGCGCTCCACCAGCCCCCACTAGGCGCTTACCAAGTCCCCACCAGGCGCTCCACCAGCCCCCCCCAGGCACTCCCCCATCACCCACCAGGCGCTCCCCCATCACCCACGAGTCGCTCCACCACTGCCAAGGCGCTCCACCAGCCCCCACTAGGCGCTTACCAAGTCCCCAACAGGCGCTCCACCAGCCCCCACTAGGCGCTTACCAAGTCCCCAACAGGCGCTCCACCAGCCCCCACCAGGCGCTTACTAAGTCCCCACCAGGCGCTCCACCAGCCCCCACCAGGCGCAAACCCTAAGTCCCCAACAGGCGCTCCACCAGCCCCCACTAGGCGCTTACCAAGTCCCACCAGGCGCTCCACCAGCCCCACCAGGCGCTCCACCAGCCCCCACCAGGCGCTTACCAAGTCCCCACCAGGCGCTCCCCCAGCCCCCACCAGGCGCAAACCCTAAGTCCCCAACAGGCGCTCCACCAGCCCCCACTAGGCGCTTACCAAGTCCCACCAGGCGCTCCACCAGCCCCCACTAGGCGCTTACCAAGTCCCCACCAGGCGCTCCACCAGCCCCCACCAGGCGCTCCCCAAGTCACCCACCAGGCGCTCCACCATCCCCCACCAGGCGCACACCCTAAGTCC